TGCATGAATTGTTTATACATATCTTGATGTTTGATTCATGGAAATCATTGACAAATACTTCTCTTACATATTTCACTCTTATGAATTTTTAATGAGAAATGGATTTGATATAATGCTCTTCTCACTATGAAGTTTTATTCGTGAATTTTTCCTTCATGTAATACTCCTCTCCTATGAATAATTGAAGAAATTTCAATGGATATATTAATCCTTGAAAGATGAATTCTCATGTATGATAATGAAAGTATTTGTGTGATAATTTTCATAGGGATTTGATTTCATATGGATATCTCAATCATTTACATGAATCTCTTCTCTTTGTCAAAATGAAAGTATGTTTTAACAAAAACTTCTTTATCATTTTTTACTTGATTCAAATCATTTCACAAATTTAGTTCTTAATGGATTCTCTCCTTACCTTCTTTCCTCTTCTTCATGCAAAATGTGATGACAAAGGGGGAGAAGTTGTTGGAATCAATTATTTTAATGTTGATAACATCTAATGATGAGAACTTTTGAGTGTAAAACTTGCTTGATTTTTTTACCACACTTGCTTTGTTGAATTGTTCTTCTTTTTGTTGATGACAAAGGGAGAGAAATAATACCAAAATGTGGTAAATTGATGATAAATGTATGCAATGTATTTCATCATATATACTTGAAATATTTGCTTGATAAATTTCTTTCATTATGATAAGATATCTAGAGCTTAACTTGCTATTTTGTAATTGATATCTTGCCATAGAATGATGAATTGCTATCTTTGTCATCTTTCATATTTGAAATATCATACTTGAAAATAGATGTCATGCCTTGATATCGTTTTGATAAATACTTGACAGCGTATTTTGAGAATGATAGATCATGATAGGAATCATGATGTGCATATTGATAAGTTTAATTAACTTATCTTATTGGTTTATTTCTTGAATTCAAAACCCTTGAATTCAAGAATGTCTTTTCTCAAGTATGGCATATAGAAAGGGGGAGTTAAGGTTAACTCCGTCATCAATTGATTGTCATCATCAAAATGGAAGAAATTATTGAATCTCGAATTTTGATGATAAAGTCAATTGTAAATTGTTTGATCTAATCTATATGTTGAGAAAAGTGTGCAGAATTAACTACGATAGTAGTAAGAAATAAAGCAGGTGTTATGCTAGAGTCAAGATCAAGATCTTATTGGGAGTTTGAGAGTCTGACGGAAGTCCGGACATTCGTCGGAAGTTCTATCGGAAACAACCAAGAAGTCCAGGAGCTTGCCAAAGAAGCTCGTCGGAACTCGCCAAGAAGATTGTCGTAAAGTCCAGGAGCTTGCTGGGAGTCCGTTGGAACATTGTCAAGAGTTCGTCGGATATTCACCGGAAGCATATCAAAAGCTCGCTAGAGGAGCAATTGACGCACCGGAACAAGAGGCGTTGTAATTATGTCTTAATTATCGTAGTTAGAGCATAAATTAAGTTAGGATTAGGAGGTAATCCCACTAACTTAATTATGGGCCACTGGGCCTTTAATAGGGCTGAATTGGGTCAAATTGAGCACCCAATTCAGCCCCTGAAAATATGGCCAACGGTGGCATCCCCAGGGCCAGCGGTGGCACCGCTTGGAAGGTAGTGCCCCTAGTTTTTTGGGCGATGGTACCGCCTATAGTCAAATCAGCGACGGTAGTACCACCCAGTAATGGCGATGATATCGCTAGTACCCCAGATTCCGAGGATATGATATTTTTTTACTCCATTTTTGAAGCCATTAGGGCCTATAAAAACCCCACCCTTTTCTACATGAAAGGGCACGAAAGCATTGGCTTAATCTTGAATTCTTGAGTCATAAAAGTATTGTAAAAGTTAGAGTTTTTCTCCTTCATCTCTTAGCCTTGTAACCATCCAAAAAAGAGGAGTGAGACTTGTAAGGGTTGTCTCCTAAACCTGGGAAAAGGAGAAAGTGTTGTAAAGAGGTGTTCGGCCTTTACCTATTGAAGGAAAGCCTTTAGTAGATGCCGGTGACCTCGTCCGAGGAGGAATCCGAAAGTGGATGAAGGTCACCTTGATCGAACCACTCTAAATTTCGGTTTGCTTTTTATCTGTGCAATTTACTTTACTACAAACCTCCTTAATCTTCTCATGCACTTTTACGAAAGCTTTCAAGTTCAACTTCTCTCCAAAATAGATTCAATCGAAACCATTTTCATCGGAATTGTTTT